TGTGTGTGTGTGTGTGTGTGTGTGTGTGTGTGTGTGTGTGTGTGTGTTTTCCTTCTCTCTGTCTTAAGCATATAGAATCACATCTGCTTAACTCCGGGATTGTTGAGATTTCATGGGGATTTGGGGAGTAGGAGGCATCTTGGCAGGGAGATCATTATTACTTTTTGATCCGCCTCCGGTATGCATTCTGACAATTCCTCCCACACCTTCTACTAAAAGTTTTCTCCTCAGGCTAATTGACTGTTAATGGAAGATAAGTAAGGCATTTATACATCCGCAACTCTCAGTATACATGATTTATGTCACCCTCTTAAAAAACAAGATTTAAACAGCAGTCGCCTTGTTTTTTCTCTGCCACATCAGAAGCTGGGTTTGTGGGGTGAATCAGGAGACAGATTTTATTTTCTACTTGAGTTCTTTCAGGTCCAATAGTGAGCTGCTAAAGTTGAAGGTATAGGGATATAAGAAGGGCCAGTTTTTTATGTAACTAATATATATTTTGACATTATTTGAAAAATATTACATTTTCATTTGAAAGCAGTCTTAGCAACATAAATCTTTTATTTCTTTTTTGTGAAAATTGACTTGTGGATTGAGTTTGTTACGTTTGGAGTCTATAGGTATAGTATGTAATCTCTGAACTAGCCCTTGGCCTCTTCAACACAGCAACAATTTTAAAGTTAACAAATCCTAACATTTAGTTTTCCTGGCTAAATAAATAAAGATACAGTCATTTAAATAGCCTTCTTTCAGACTTGTTGTGGAAATAGGTAGTCATTATTGAAAAATGAAGTAGAATCTCTGGAATAGAATGTTTTCTGACTGTATTCTGTTCACAGTTCTCTCATCAATGGTGATTGTTACAAGATGGACTGAGAACTGAATGAATGACTCCCTGAGAGAAATACAGTCTATGCACAGTTGGCTGAGCCAGTTGTTTGAAAATAACATTTTGTGAAGTGCAAATGATTCAGTTAATTCTAGGAAGTGGGTCTGTTTTCCTATAAATTATCTTGTAACTGGTTCTTCTCTTAAGTTACACTTTTACTGTTCAAACTTTAATCGTCTCTTTCAATACTGTGCCCTTCCTGACTTCCCAAAATGCAGGTTTTAGTCTTCATTATCCCCAATTAACTCTCTCAAAATCAGATCTTACTATAATACCCTCTTTAAAAATATCTCCTTATGCCTTCAGCATTGCTAACTATGCCATGGATTGCATCTTTACTTTGGATCACTCAAAGATTACTTGACAACATGTGAACTGTATGTGAAGTCAAAGTGTAAATAATTGCACTTTTTCCATGAATGAAAAATTTACTTAAGGGCTAGTAAACTTTTTAAATATAAATACTGATTTATTATAGAATAGCATGAAATGCCACATGAATTTTATAATAAAATGTTGAAACCTCCAAGAAATGTCATGCTTGTAAAATCAATCTTCTTTGGATTTTGTGTTCAAACTCCGTATTATAGTATAGTATATAATTCTCTTAACATTTATACACCAACAAACACCGTATCCTGCAACTCCATACTTTTGACATTCTTATGAGATATCTCTGTGGACCTTAGTACTATTCCCCAAAACCACTCATGCTTTTCATCTACCTCAATTTTTTCACGGTGTCTTCTATGCCTAGAATACCATTTTCCAGTTTCTCTGAATTGTGAATGCTATTCACCCTTAAAGTTTACAAACTCATTCAAATGACATAAATATAGTATTCCTTCCTCTGCATCTAAAAAAATTGTTTCACATAAATCTATTCAAGCATACATTATATTATATCATGCTTATTTATGTATTTGTTACTTTTGCCAATTATGAAAGCCTTGAAGTAATAATATGTCTTATTATTACTTTTCTTTCTGCGGAGTTTTATAATATGGCCACAAATCAAATACTTTGACACTTTTCCCTCCAAAAAGTAAGTTTAGATCCCCTTTCCTTGAGTGTGGGCTATAGTTTATGACCTTCTGACAAATAGAATGCAGTAGAAATTACAGAATAACTTCTAAGCCTAGATTATAATCAATACAAAGTAACTGGACGTGGTTCATCATGCTGCCATGACAGAGATGTAAAATGTCTTTGGAACCAGTCAGTGGATAAAACTGGTAGGATTTTGAAAAGAAAAGTCATAGAAGTTGTTACAAGCCTTAAAGAAACTCTGTCTAGAAGAATGGTGACAGTTTAGGAAGCTCTGCATGAGAGCTGAAAATAAATTTATCCATATCTTAGTAAAGCCAGGAGGAAAGGAGGTCTTTGGTGTAGTAGGAAAAAGGTAAGCAACAACTATGCCTGCAAAAACATGCAGTGTAGAGAATGTACCTAATGACTTGGAAGATCTGGCTATGGAGCTTTCTAGACTAAATGTTGAAAAGGCCATCTGATTTCTTCTTGATGCTCATGGTAAAATGTGAGAATAGACAGATGAACTGAATTATAAGCATTGTTAAACACAAAGGAGCAAGGATTTTATTGCTTTGAAATTTCTCAACCACTTCAGATAGCAAACACCACCAAGAAAACATGCTCTACAGATGAAATCAAAGCTGGGACTGTAAAATCTTTGTTAATACATCATAAAGCTCTAAGGTGATGCCTCAGAATGCTATTCAGTCAGGGGAAAAAGTGCTCTAAAAACTTTTAAGAGTATGCATCACAGATCCTCTAACCCAAGTTATAGGGATGCTAAAAAGCTTAAGGATAATGCTCATTAGCTTAAGTATAAAGTAAAAAGGAATATATATTAAAGAGATTTGTCAATTTGACTTTTAGCACATTAAGATCAACAGAAGATCCAAACAGTTTTAAAAGAATTATATTGGTGGAAACAATGTCAGCTTGGACTGAAAGGGACGGTCTAAACTAGAGCTAGTTTTGCCATCGTAATTTTAAGCCTCAATGTTCTAGTGTGCATTGGATAAACTACCTAGTATGTTATAAAGTCATTTCTGTGCAACTATATGAAATTCACATTTTAAGGAATGAGATTTCCTACTAATAACCAGTGAGAAACTGACATCTCTAGTCAACAGATGTATGGTTGAGCCAAATTGGTAGCACATCTTTTAGTCCATTCAAGTCTTAAGCTGACTCAAACTCCAGCTACTGTCTTGACTCTAACCTCATGTGAGACCCCAAACCAGAACCCCTCGGTAAGTTACTCTTATATTTCTGACTCTCAGAAACACTGATATAATAAATATTTGTTGTTGTATGTCATTAAATTTGTGTTAATTTATTACACAGCAAGAGATAACTAATGCAATTCTTTTTTTTTTTTTCATCTATATAGTTTGGTGTGTGGTTGTCACTTCACTAGTATTTACTGGAAAAGAAAAGGAGAAGATGAAGACATTGTTGGTGGAATACAAAATAGAAAAAGTGTGATAAGAAATCATGATATTGAAATTACTTTAAAATTCTCTCAGTGAAAATTTTGATCATGGTTTATGTTAAAAATCATTTGGCTTTAGGGGCGCCTGGGTGGCGCAGTCGGTTAAGCGTCCGACTTCAGCCAGGTCACGATCTCGCAGTCCGTGAGTTCGAGCCCCGCGTCGGGCTCTGGGCTGATGGCTCAGAGCCTGGAGCCTGTTTCCGATTCTGTGTCTCCCTCTCTCTCTGCCCCTCCCCCGTTCATGCTCTGTCTCTCTCTGTCCCAAAAATAAATAAACGTTGAAAAAAAAAATTAAAAAAAAAATCATTTGGCTTTAAATGTAAAAATGTTTGAATTTACGTGGACAAATCAAGACAAAGGTGGTAGGCACTGATATCTATTAACTTTTTTCTGCACATCAGATAGATAGGCACTCGATTATGATCTTCATTAAAATTTGTCACTTAATCTTACCAAAAATTCTGGGAGTTAGGTATTATCCCCAATTTATATTTGAGGAATCAGCCTGAATGATATGAAATAATGTGTCCATATTGGTAATTCTAGGAAGTGCAGAGGCTGAATCTGATCCCTCTTCTATCTGATTCCAATTTTTCTAATGTTTTTGCTATACTATGAAACATATTATTAAAGATGCTAAACTAGGGGCGCCTGGGTGGCTCAGTCGGTTGAGCGTCCGACTTTGGCTCAGGTCATGATATCGCGGTCTGTGAGTTTGAGCCCCGTGTCAGGCTCTGTGCTGACCACTCAGAGCCTGGAGCCTGTTTCGGATTCTGTGTCTCCCTCTCTCCCTGACCCTCCCCCGTTCATGCTCTGTCTCTCTCTGTTTCAAAAATAAATAAACGTTAAAAAAAAATTTTATAAAAAAAAAGATGCTAAACTATAATAATTTAGCCTATTGGTTCTAGTATAGCAGAGGATATTTTCTTTTCCATGTATTATTAATTCAAGTTGTTTACTAAGAAGTTAAAACTGTTTATTAACAGAATATCTAGGGACATTCTAGAGTCAACTATGTTTACTTACATGTTAGATCTTCTTGAGAGACTGTTTTAACAATGTAAGTGTGGGGCCTAGGAATATGTTTTTTGATAACCTCTATACAAAACAGAACAATTATTCTATATGTTAAACCAACAGAATTAAAGCCTTCTTTCTCTTCAATCTCATGTTAGTTTTTCAACTTTGTTCTCTCCTTCGTTTTTTCTTTTTATGAAAACATTTTTTATTTCTCTTGAATATTTAATATTTTAATAACAAATTCATCATTAACTAAGAAGTAGAATAATTAGATCATATATTGAATATCATTCTGAGATCCTTAAAGACTATACTTTCAGGGATCATTTCTATAGTTCATTAATTCTGAGATCCTAATTTATTAAAAAATAACACTAACTGTTGTTTGCTATGATATTGGAAATAAAGGGTTGAATAGGTTGTAATGAACATATGAACCAAATAGAATAATTCATATTAGTGCAGGACACAGAAGACATCAGCATAAGTGGCCTGTCTCTCAAGGTGGGTATTGGATCGCTTATGAAGACTATAAAATTTAAAATATATGCAGGTGCCCGGCTGGCTCAGTCAGGAGAGCATACGACTCTTGACCTTGGGGTTGTGAGATTCAAGCTCCATGTTGGACATTGTTTGTTTGTTTGTTTGTTTGTTTGTTTGTTTATAAAATATGTGCACTTGAATTGAAAAATGAATGGTCATTCTAAATCAGTGAAGACATCAAAACAAAAGTCAACATGGGGCGTTAAGTGACTTGTGGACAAAAACAAGTCATCCATGTTGAAGAGACATGAGGTAAAAGAGATGAGATAACCAAGAGCCTTTCAAGCCAGGTTAAAATGGCTTGAAACTACTACATACAGTTTGCAAAAGGCAGAGTGAAGCAAGAGTGATTATTTAGGATGCTGTTGCAGTAATTCTAGAAAAGATGACTCAAACCAGAATTCGGGAGTTTTGTTAGGAAATAATAAGAACGGATGAATCTGACGAATTTTGTTTCTCAATCTGAGAAAGAAACTACAGAGAATCTGGGTAAATAAAATACAGAGACCAAAGATAATATCAATGTGTATAGCTTTTGTAGATTGCAGATGAAACCACTCCTAACAGTCTTTGGGAAGCCAGAATGATAAACTGTTTTGACAGTATTATTAGCATTACTCAGAGTAGACTAACTACTATAGTAATTACAGAAATCTCTTAAACTCACTTTTATATATCTAAAGTATTAATGTGAATATTCCTGGTCTGGCCTTTCTCCAGAGCAGCTCTACTCTACATGGTGTCTCAGGAATCCAGGTTTCTTTGTCATGTGATTTCTTCAGATAAGACCTTAGAGTCCTTTCCTTTCTGCTGCATAGGTGGGTAAAAAGTAGCATGAGCATTTGTATGGGAAAGTTGATACCCAGACCTCCATATGGCCTAAATCATTATAACTTCTG